AGTGGTTGAATCTAATGAAGAAGCAATCTTTCTGGGTGCCCAGAGATCTCTGATCTGAATATAATCCAGCGCAGTGCTCAGCATTTAGTATGTGCTTTCCACCTTGGTTTATAATGACTTACTCATTTAAAAAAAGGGCTTATTTGAGGAGATACAAATGTTTGATGTCTTAGCTTGTTTATAGTTTGCATTCAGGAGAAATCTTGATGAAAATTATCTTCAGGATTTCATGGAGACTCCTGTTTGACTGGAACAGGCATTTTGGGATAATCCCAGAGCAATAGGAATAGGATTGGAGAGATACTAGTTACTGTGTTCACTTTGGGAGCTGCCACTCAAATGCCAAAAGATTTGTCTCCTGTCCCTCTCAGTAGTTCTCAGTCATGAAGGTCTCTGGTGTGGGGAATTTATACAGAACAAAATGAGCCTTTATAAAAAATGGCTCTTAAATTCTCTGGGCACAAACCAAGGGTATGGAGATAGCTACGCTGAGCAAAAGGAAAAGTCTCTTTATGAAAAGGGAAACTGTTTCAAGCAAGTGTCTAGTTGGAAAAGTTCCCATTAAATGCCTGTTCAGTCTCCTTTGTTTTATTGCAAACTGAGTCTGGGTGGAGGAGATGCTTGATAAGATAGAGTTGGATTAGCTTTCTGAGATGAGGACATTGTGACCTTTCCTTTGACTGAGGAAGACTGGAAATGGTTAAGTGGTTTCCTTCAGAGTCCATCAGAATTCAAGGAATATCCTACCGCAGCAGTGAAAGCATGGTGTCTCTGCCAGGCTAGCCTCACTTGCAGCTAGAGGGAGCAAAGGCTGAGGTGCAGGAGGCGATCTGTATTTACACTGTACCCAGTGTCAAGCCCCATTCTCGCTGTCCTGTACACTCTGAGTTCTGTTGTTTTATTTCAGGAGTTGAAGGGAAAGCTGGAATGGCAGCAATAGCTGATCCAAAAGCTAACCTGAGTCCTAATGCTTTGTATCAGAATCTACAGACGGTGCTTCCTCCCTATGCACGGCCCATCTTTCTTCGTCTCCTGCCTCAAGTTGACACTACAGGTACTGATGGGTGACTTGCAAGTTCTTTTCTTATGAGCAGTGAATGCGTCAGTAGCTTTCAGAACTCAGCTCAAACTTGGAAGGTGTCAAAGTTGCCTCTCACTTAATTGTGCTGTTGTTACCTGCACAAAATACTCTGTTTAAACACACGGTATGCACCTATCCTTACCTGTTCCTGGAGCTCAGCTGTAGTCTTACACTCTGCAGGTTTGTGGGCCCTTTTACAAGTGAAAGGGCCTTACACAATAATGTCCTACTTAACATCTATTTATTAACAAGCACCAAAACCAGAATGCACACACTAACAGTGCTCACCATGACCAATAAGACAGATGAAATTTTCTTGATGGCCAGTCAGGATCAGGGCCATCTGGGGGACTCCACATATTGTCGCTGGCAGAGTGTTAAGGTCTGGCAGCTCTGATCTTGGAGCTTTGTCCTGGATTTGGTTCCCAAAGAACTTCTGTTTGGACTTTACTATAAGTGAAATAATGTCTGTAGTTTAGTGTTATACAGGAGAATATTTGGAACAAGGAGAGACTCTTGCATAGAGGAAAATACTTCTGTGCTTTCTGATACTTGTTCCGAGTTCAGTGCTGTGGTGTAGGCTAGCTCTATATATTGGTCTGTGGGAACCTTTTGCCAACAGTACTGTGCTTGGAATATACAGCCGCTCCCCGAGTTACGACCACCTCCACTTACGACCATCCGCACTTATGACCAAAGCAGTCGTAAATGCAGATCCAAGTTACGAATGGCGATCGGCGCTTACTAACAGTGCGGTCGCCATGTAACTCTATGGGATCCAAGTTACGAACACTTCGAGTTACGGACCAGGTGTTGGTCTGTAACTTGTTCGTAACTCGGAGAGCGGCTGTAAATATAACTATCTATGAAACAGACTAGAGCAGTGGTTCCCAACCTTTTTGATACCAGGAACTGGCAAACCCATTCACAAACTTTTGGAGGACTGACAATATTTCATTTGTATATTTGCATTTTCATTATGCAGTTAACAAATATGCAAATAAAATGTAGCTGGTCTGCCAAAAACCCTGGTCTCCAGAATCCCCAAGTGCCAGCCCTAATCCCTAGAGCTACCCACCCCTCCACTACCCCCCAGCACTAACCATTGACCCCAGAATCCCCTGCACCCATCCCTCCAGGGCCAGCCTTACACCCTCAGCCTCCCAGTGCCAGCTCTCTACCCCTTAGAGCCCCCCCCAGGCCAGCCTCCTGTTTCCAGAACCCCACTGCCCCTCCCCCCCCCCCAGAACCTTCCCCAGTGCCAGCCCACAGTCCCCAATATGAATCCTGTCCCAGAGCCCCAACATGCCAGCCCTACCTCCACAGCCCCTTATTACTAGCCCCACCCACAGAGCTCCCCACGATAGCCCTGCTCTTGGAGCCTGCAGTGCCTGCCCTGCACTGCCTCCCGGCTGAGCGCTGCTGCCCAGGTTGCTGCTGCTCTAAGGCTACCGTACTGGATTTGACAGACCGGGCCAGGTCTGGGCACAGCTGAGGGCGTCTGCTTAGGGAGAATTGCTCAAACTTGGGGCTCCTTACAGTCCCAGACTGGAGACCTTCCCAAATAGGCCACAAACCAGTCCCACAGAGCGCTTCAGCTGCCAGCCTGGCCAGCCAGAAGCCTCACAAACAAACCCCTCTGACACCTCAGCGCTCTCCATGCCCCAAACAGCCCCAGGCCTGACACACAGGTGTGAGTGGCCCCACCTCCCGGGCGCCCGGGAGCCTCTAAAGGTTGGGGACCACTGCTCTAGATCTTACCCACAAATCACGCTGAGCCAGTCCTTTAGCATCTAACATCTAAAGGTTTATTACTACAATAAAGGAAAGCAAGAGAGTAAGGTTGTTAAAGGATAGTACATTACCTGCATCGAATCTCCCAGTTCTTGATGCAGGCTCTAGCAGAGATGTTACAGCTGCTGGCTTAAACGTCCTTGTTGCACATCCTAGGATCGGGATGGGTCCACAGTTCTTTCCGGTTCGTGGTTCCTTGCAAAGCTGCCTCTAGGATCAAGAGCTGAGCTGAAGATGAAAATGGAGGATGCCACATGGCATAGTTATATTCCTTCCTGGTCTCTTCCAAGCTGGAGACAGTCACATGGTCAGTGGCCAGGCACCTAGATTCCTTCCCAGGTAGGTCTCTGGTACTTAGGAGACCTATTGTCCCTGGAGCCTTGCTAATTAGCATGTCCATAGGCTGAGCCCATGGCTCAACCACATATAGAGAAACTTCCAGTATTCATACAGAGTACATGTTTATAGCTCCACACACAGATATTATACAATTACATGAATAGAATATACAGACTCAGTAGAAGGTAAGCTTTTGTTTGATACTTCACATGGCCCCCTTTGTACCCACTTTTGGGGCAAACACGTGATCTGGCTGCTTCCCTTAAAATCTAGTAACGTGACACTGGGCTCCATGTGACCCTCCCACCACGCAACAAAGCACTCTTCCAAGGCCAGGAAGTGACCCCACCACTGCCCTGCCAGACCTGGCAACAGCCAAACCCCCACCACATGCACAGGATCGGCGGTGTCTGTGGCACAAGCAGCGGGTGGGTGCACGTTTTTGGTGACTCGAGAGTTCCTCCCCAGTCTGTTAACAGTCAGGGTCTAGAGGCACCCATGCGCATCTTGGGCTTGCAGCACCCACCTGACAGCTGGGGGATACTAGCCACCCTGACAGCTGCTGGCTTGAGTCCAAGAGCCCAGCTTCCTCTGCACAATTCCAACCAGTGCTGCCAGCTGCAGCGCCCTGGAACATTGGGAAATGGCCAAACGTGGTGCAGGCTGGTGCCGGCAGGAGAGATCCCACAGGGGAAGCCGGGCCTTGCCAGAGAAGAGGCAGAAATCATGGATACCCAGGATGGCTCCTCGAGGCCACTAACCTGATCCTCCTTGATAATATCGATAAAGGCCGGGATGCTCATGGCAGAAGTCTCCACTCCCTGATCCTGAACATGCTGCCCGCAATAGAAAGGACATATGGCAGCTGCTCGCCACACAGCCCTGCCGGATGGGCTGCATGGCTGCCTGCCAGAGCTACAATCAGGGCCGTGGTGAGGCTGTTCCAGTAGGGACAACCTCACCAAGGCCCGGCTCCAGCCACAGCACACTGGGGCAGTCCACAGCACCACGCACTGTGGGTGGGTGGGAATAGACTTTTTAGTGCACATGCAGGCATGCACCTGATAGGGAACAGTGCTCCCCAGCGGTGCTGTGGCCCAGCAGGCAGAGGTTTGTGGTCCACCATCAATCTGTGGACCGGTGGTTGGGAACTGCTAGTCTAAGGGATCCTTGTAATCTGTTGAAGAAATTTTAAACATACATGAATGGGGGCTCCCACTGCTAACCTGTAGCCTGGCAGCTGCCTGGCAGATACAAGCCCTTTGAATAGAAGCAGTTGAAAGGGCTTACGCCTCCAGGTAGCTCCCAGGCAACAGCCCAGTGGGGCAGAGCTGTGAGCTCTTTTCACGTGCTTCTGTTTAAAGGGCTTGTGCCTGCCAGGTGGCTGCCAAGCAATGCAGCCACCTAAGCAGGTGAGCTCTTTAAATAGAAGCAGTTGAAAGGGCTCGCATCTCTGGCTCCCTAGCAACGTGCTAGAGGCGCCAGGAGCTGCGAGCCCTTTTAAGTGCTTCTATTTAAAGGACTGGCACCTTCCCTGTGCCTGTCAGCCAACATGTTGCCTAACAGCCACGGGGAACTTGAGAGCCCTTTTAATAGAAACAGCTGAAAGAGCTAGCAGCTCCCCGCATCTCTAGTACATTGCATCTCTAGTACATTGCCGGAGACCACAATCCCTTTCAGCTGTTTCTATTTAAAGGGCTATTGTTTTCCCTGCTGCTGCTAGGCAGTGCTGCTTGACAGGCACAGGAAAGACAATAGAAGCACTTAAAAGGGCTCACAGCTCCCCGCACCTCTAGCACATTCCTAGGGAGAAAGAGATGGGAGCTTTTTTAAGTGCTTCTATTTAAAGGGCTCGTGCCTTCCCCGTGCCTGTCAGGCAGTGTTGCCTAGCAGCCACGTGGAAAATGAGAGCCCTTTAAATAGAAACAGCTGAAAGGGATTGTGCGTCTCCAGCAACACACTAGAGGCACAGGGAACTGCTAGCTCTTTCAGCTGTTTCTATTTAAAGGGCTCGCATGTTCCCTACAGCTGCTAGGCAATGCGTTGCCTGACAGGCACAGAGAAGGTGCCAGCCCTTTAAATAGAAGCACTTAAAAGGGTTCACAGTACCCCACATCTCTAGCGAGTTGCTAGGAAGCCAGAGACGCAAGCCCTTTCAACTGTTTCTATTTAAAGGGCTGGCGCCTTCCCTGGGGCTGCTAGACAAGATGCGGGGAAGACGTGAGCCCTTTAAATAGAAGCAGTTAGAAGGGCTGTGCCCCTCTCCCACTGCAAGGCAACATGCTAGTGGGAGGGGCCTGGAACTGCCTCGTGGGCCAGATCAAAGCCCTAGAAGGGCTTTGATCTGGCCTGCTGAGAGGCTTTTCCCCACCCCTGGCTTAGGGCTTCAGCCCTGTGCCTGTTGAAACTCCGAGCCCCACCCTAACCCTAACCCTGGGGAGCACCATGAGGCTCTGCCCCACCTCACTCTGGTAGTTGGAGAATGGAAGGAGGGCATAGGGGGCTCCGCGAGCTGCACTGTAAAAGAGCTGCATGAGGCTCCCAAGTTGAAGTTTGGCCACCCCTGATATCTACACAAAATAATTCCCGTTATACTGTTTAAATATGGCTAACAAATGAAACCATGAATTTACACCACTGTGCTTCTTATGGGTAATGTTGATCACTAATTTGCTTCCTGAACCACTGAAGTCTGAGTGTCGTTGCCCTAGTGCCGTGGTTCTCAACTGATGGTTGATGGTGACTTTTTCGGTGATCCATAGGAACATTGTCCAAAGTCACACGGCATGAGCAGGCACCGCTGCTAGGCTGTTTCACGCCGTGTTCATAAGGATGTGGTGCGTCATCCATAGTGTCAGTTAGGACGCAACTGCGTTGTGTTGCCAGTAACTTCCGTCTGAGGCTCTGAGCATCAGTGTAGCTGCCACCGTCGTGCTGAGCGGTTGCTGTGTCGTTCATCCTGTTCTACATGAGCTGTTTTACAGGTGTGGTGTAGTTTGTTTATAATGGCAGCGACAGGAAGAAATGTCAAGCGCAAGTATTCGGAGGACTACATCAAATTCGGCTTCACTTGTCAAGAAAAAGAAGGCGCGGATTTGCCACGATGTATTATTTGTTTCAAAGTCTTGGGGAATGACTCAATGAAGCCAGCTAAGCTGAAACCTCATCTAGAAAAGTGTCACTCCAACTTGTTGCAAAAGGATGAAGATTATTTTGAGCGGTGGTTATCAGGTCTGAAACGGCAGTGCCTCGACTCAACAAGTGCATTCTACAATAAGACAAGCAATGCAGTGCGCCCTTCCTACATTGTTGCATACAAACTTGCACAGGCCAAGAAGCCTCATACCATTGTAGAGCAACTTGTGATCCCCTGTGCAAAAGAGATAGTGCGGCTTGTTCTTGGTGAGGAAGCAGCAAGGAAGCTGAATGATATATCTGTCTCTAACGACACAGTATCGAGATGGACAAATGAAATATCACAGAACGTCAGTGAACAAGTTGTGGATGAAATAAAGAAGTCTCCATTGTTTGCCATACAATTGGATGAATCGACCGATGTCACATTGTGCTCTCAGCTATTGGTGTTCGCATGATACATGGTTGAGGGAGACTTCAAAGACAAGTTTCTTTTTTGTAAGACTCTTGATACCACCACAAAGGCTCAGGATGTGAATGAAATTGGCTCAGGATGTGAATGAAATTGTTAACAATTTCTTTTAAGTACATGGTCTGGATTGTGGGTGTCACCACTGATGGTGCACCTGCCATGCTGGGCTCAAGATCGGGCTTCCAAACGCTGGTGAAACAGCGCGCTCCAATAGTAACCGGAGTTCATTGCTTCCTTCATAGGGAAGCTTTGGCGTCAAAAAAATTACCTGATCAACTGAACACAGTTTTCAAAGGGTTGATGAAAGTGGTGAATCACATCAAATCATCGGCTCTGTACACTAGGCTGTTCAAAAGATTTTGCCTGGACATGGGTTCTGACTTAGATGTGTTGCTGTTCTACACTTCTGTACGGTGGTTGTCAGCAAGGAAAGTACTCAATAGAGTATTTCAATTGAGAGAGGAGTTGGATTTATTTCTCCAGGCTCAAGGGAAAGAAGAATTCTAAAATGTGCTGACGCAGTCAAATTTAGAACTTGCGTATCTTGTTGATATTTTTGGAATTTTGAACAAACTGAATCTTCAGCTGCAAGGGAAAGGTGCAAATCTGTTCTCTCACCAAAGCATCATCAAGGCTTTTCTTGACAAATTGGAACTCTGGATCATAAGAGTCGATGGCAATAATTTGGTTCAATTTCCATATGTGGATGCCATGCTGGGGGAAAAGGAAGCCATTCGGACGCAAATTCTCGATCATTTATGGAAGCTATGAGATGAATTCCAACAATACTTTCCGGGGGTGGACAGGACAAGGGATGGATTATCTTTAATCAGGAATCCATTTACAACAGATGTTAATAGTGTTCCAGAGGATCTGCAGGAGGAATTCTTGGATCTGAAAAATGATTTTGCGGCTCAAGACGTGAACCAGCAGTCTACCATAGAGAAATTTTGGGCCAGCGTGACCAGGAGTTACCCAAATCTGTCAGCACATGCAGTCAGATTTATTTTGCCATTTGCATCAACTTATATGTGTGAGACTGGATTTTCGTGTTTGTTGCACATTAAGTCCAAACAGAGGAATCGGCTTGCAGTGGAAAGTGATATTCGTTGTGCATGATCAAGTACCACTCCAAACTTTGAAAAGCTTGTCAGTGAGAAGAGAATCCAAAAATCTGTCAGTAAGAAATAAATTTCAAATCAAAATGTTCTTTGTCTGCTCTTTTTTATCATGTCTCAAAAAGGAGGTGGTCCACAAAATTTTTTTGATTGGCCTGGTGGTCCGTGGACTGAAATGAGTTGAGAACCACTGCCCTAGTGACTCCATCTTGCACATACTATTTACTGTTTAATAATTTGTCCTCATTCATGCTGGAGATTTGCAATCATTCACAATCTCATACTGTGATTAACTGTCTGGTAAGCTAATTAAACAGCTTTAGAGGTGGCTGTTGTTTCGTTTCCAGGCAGATTCTTTTGGAGAAGTAGAAACAAGAAAGTACAAAGCTCACACATAGTAAATTTAAGCCACCTCTAGTTGGCAGAAATGACAGACTAGTATCACACAAGATCTGTAATTGAGACTGGGAAATAGTTACAACTCTGAACAAGAGCCTTTATTAAGTAGTAGACAAAATGTCTGAAACGGCAGACATTAAATGACAGATATTTCACCACTGTGCAGCAACTACCAGTGGCATCAAAAGGCTGATCTTCCTGTTGCCTTAGAATAAAGCTGAGATGCAACGGCTGGATGGATTTTCAACGTGACAGCTAATTAAACCACATACCATAATCTGTAATACAGCAAATTGGTTTAACTGAGCCACTGAACTCCTCAAACATTGCCAGTTGGATTCAGTGCTACAGATATCACGTTATTACAACATCTACAATATATTGCACCTTGAAGTCTTTGTACAAAAATGAACTATGCCTCAGTGCACCTGTAATGAAGGTTTGGCCTGTAGCGGTGGTCCCCAAACTGCTCAGGAGAGCTGTCTGGCCCAGAGCAGGAAAACAAGATGGCGGACAGCCACGGGCAATCTGTTAGGGCCAAAAAGCCTCAAAAGCATTTTTTTTAAAGAGGCCACACTGTTTTGTTTTGTTTTTTAAATTATTTATTTATTTGTTTATTTATTTGCTTAACTCTTGGGGTCCTTTTTTTTTTTCTTTTTTTTCTCAATAACTTTGGTCTCCCCCTTTTTTTTCTCAACAGAATTTTTTCCCCACTGTTTTTTTTTTGGGGGGGGGGGGGAAGCAGGGTGTTTGGTATTTTTGGTTAAACCATCTGGCAACCCTATGGCTGGGAGTCATGACTGGACCTACAGCTGGAGCTGGAGCAGGGCCAGTATGGAGCTAGGTGCAGAGCAGAGCTGGGAGACACTCCATTCCCTGGCCCAGGATCCATGCTGCATCCCCAGAAATTCCTCTCCTTCCCTCCCTCCTCCCGCCCCCCAAGGGGCATGCCTCAGTGTTTGGGGCCAACTGGCTTAGATCAAAAATACAATGCACGACTGAAATTACAGAGATCCTGTACTGTCAGAGATTGGTGGAGAAAGGAGAAATAAAACCTGTGGTGTCTGTAGCGCACATACCATAAATTGATTGTCATTTGTCTTTTTACTGATCCCAAGTGACCTAGAGCCTGATCTATCCCATCTCACATCAGCCAGTGGAATTAATTCTGATGTGTGGTGGTAAGAAATGTCTGGTTTCTAGGTTTAACACCAATAACAAGTAGTATGTAGGTTCACATTTATCTTCCTAGCTTTATGTCCATGTTACCAGCTCTGAACATTTTCATGTAAATATTTTCTCTTTTTCAAGGCACATTCAAAATCCAGAAAACCCGTTTACAGAGAGAAGGATTTGACCCTCATCAAACATCAGACCGATTATATTTTCTTGATCTGAAGTTGGGAAAATACGTTCCCTTGGATGAGTGCCTCTTTGAGAAGATCTGTGCCAGAAAGGTCGCTCTGTGATCTTGTCTGGTATGTGCCTTTTGCAGGAAACACTGCTAATGGGTTTAAGAAAGGCCCTGTCTGTGGAACCAAGAGATTCCTGCTAGATAAAGAGTACAAGGTCCCCATGCAGTGCATCAGCAACCATGACAAATTCACTGGGGCATAGGATGTTTTTCTCACATGTGTTAAGTACTTTAATTTGTGACCTGTTCCTATCCTAGGCTTAGATATGCCATTTCTCTAGATATCTCTGTATCTAGAGATATTTTTTCTTTTTATAACCACTATAATCTGAGGGGTTCTGCAATATGAGAGGTGTTTATGGTCTGAATTATTTATTGGAACATCTTGAGGATGTAACTGAGTAGAAATGCATGTGTCCTGAGCAGGTGTTCTGCTTTCTCTCTCTATTTTATGTTGCTCTCTTGCTTCAGGTAGAGCCTTTGATCACCCCACCTCACATTTCTTTCTTGATTGCACATCTAAGATTCACTGTAGTGGGAAATCCTTGCTCTGAAGGGTCTATCATATGTTTACCTACGGTATTCTGTTTGCACAATACTTAGCACAATAAGGTCCTGCTCCATGATGGAGCCTCTAAGCATTACAATAATAAATAATAATAGTACTGAGAATTAATCAGTTTGTTGACCCACTGGGGTGCAGCCTCTGTGAATCTTTACAAACTGTGATCTGCAGAACAAATAGGTTAATTCACGGAAGGGAGTAGATTGTGTGTAAATGGTTAAAAAGCATAATTAGGGGCATAGGACAACTGCCTAGGACAGTACGCCAGTAAATAAACAATGTATTTAAATTTGTTACTGGGCTAGGTGATGAGGTAAATGGCAAGTCTTGCCAGAGGAGTCATATGGTAATGTTACACCTTTTAATGCTAAGTTGAGGTTTTAGGAAATATTAATTTTAATACTGCTGTGTAATTTTTTAAAAATTTTATATTTACCGATAGTTCTATCTTCAAATTGTGTTGCCATCTGCAAAAAATGAGTGGCAATTGTTGAACACCAATGTGTAGGCCACATATGACAAGACAAATCGGAACAGAATAAATTTAATGTCTACTCCAACCTCAGTAAGAATTTTATATTCCATTTAATGTGGGCAAGTTTATTAACAGACATTTCTGGATGTATTTGTTTTTCTGGTGCTTTTGCCATAATTAGAACTAAATGTAATTCTTAAAACTGGAAAATTAAAGGGATTGACTTTCACTGGTGTATGTATGCAGTGGTTCCACTTGTCCCAACAAAGGATTATTTTCTCATTTTAATTGCACCATCCTGAGCAGCTTTTGGAGACATTTGAACTTGCCATATCCACTAATGGTGGTTACTGCTGGTGTACCCAGTCTTGTGATGCCTTAAGGAATTTTCAGTGGACTCATACTATTTAAAGCAATTTATACTCCTTAAACTCTGTTCTGTGGCACCCTGTGCTGTTCTAATTATTTTAATATGACATGCAGTGTAAGTAAGGAAAAAATCATTCTGCCCTTTCTCTGAAGGAGTTAGTGTTTCATCTAAAATATTTTTATAAAGAGTTTTGCAGATGCTTTTGAAACAGTTTTAATGTTCAATGCACTGTAGAAACTGGACATTGTAAATAGTTTAAATACTAATTTTTTTATGTGGAATGTGCCTTTTATCAGGACAGACAGTAAGCGGAAATTAATTCATGATAAAAATGACCCAAGTTAACTTGAACTATAATATGCTCAGAAGCAAAGTGTGGGAGTCTGCAGCTTGGGAACTGAGTGCATGAGCTAGGAATCGGGATAGCGCTTGAAATATCCTAAAGTTTCTTGTAGTTTGAAGAATCTCGTGAATTGACTAATTGAACTTTTAAAACAAAATTGTCTTTCAAACTGATCACTATATTGTCTAACTGTATTTCTTTTATCAAGCTCAGAAATAAAAACAAATTAATTTAAATGAAACAGTGTAGCTTTCATTCATTTCCACGTGGTGAGATAAGCTCTTGTGTACCAGAAACTTCACTGTTTATAAAGGAAGAAGGCAGAGTGGAGGTGAGAAGTAGGAATGTAAACTGGTAACCAGCTACCTGGTAAGCATCACCCTGAGCCTCACTGCTTGATGCTTGCTAGCTGGGCCAGAGCGGCCCCTTCCTGTGGTGCAGTGGGCCGGTTAACTGGTTAAGCGTATTCCATATAGTTGAACTGGTTCCACCCAGATACGTGACTTTTGACCGCGGTACTCGCGGTAGAGCCAGGGGAGGAGACGACCAGGGAGGTGGGGGACGATCTGTGGCACGAGATGGACCGGGGGGGGGGGGTGTTCCAGGC